GATGTTACATGTTGTACTGATGGGTTCTTTTTTTTTTTAACTAAGCAACGACCTTCATGTTTTCTGACTAAGTAAACAAAGTGATTTATTTCTCTGCAGGTGGAAGCCCTGACACATCAGAACAGAGCCACTACGGTGCACGCTGTACGAGACTCTGAGCTGGCCAAGCTACCAGAAGGAGCTCTCAGCTCCATCAAGAGGAAGTTCCCACAGGTAGACCCAACATGTTAAATTCATCTTATGTGACATTTTTGTGTGTGTGTGTTTAGAGCTTGTGTTAAAGATTTCCTAAAGATCAGCTTTGAAAAGGAGTGAAATGGATTGCATCGTAAATTTCGAGTTGATTAGACCTAGTCCCTGACATTCAGCTGTTTGAACAACTATCAGCTGTGCAATATTGTGCGTGAAGGGCTCCCAAAATAAATGTTCTTAATATTTTAAGTTGAAAGGTATGATAAATAATAAACAATAAACGACAGCAGCTTATCTGATGAGTATTTTTGTGCGTATCTCAGGTTGTCACCAGGTTGATCCACCTACTTGGACAGAAGATCCTCCAGCAGGTCAACGGTCCTTTGACAGGTGTGTGTGCATCTGTATAAATGTTTGAATTTTGGCCTTTGCTGCTCCAACACATCTGGAATCAAGCTGCGTCTCACTGGCGTTTTCATTGCTCCGAGTTGTCCCGCTGCTTTTGCTGTTCAACACAACTGTTATTATCGAAGGTGAAGTTTACAAATCTGTGATGCATTTCCAGCTCGCAGTTTGGCCCTTCACACTCCGGGAAGTAAGTGGGATGCTGGGAACCAAGCCTCCAACCTCTCCACCGTGGCCGTCCTGCCTGTGTCAGAGGAGGTGCCGCTGACTGCCTTCACCCTGGAACTGCAGCACGCACTCATTGCAATAGGTAAGCAAAAACAATACACAGGTACTCAAACTGACCTGATACTTATGTTTAACGTCTGCCCTTCACACAGAGGTCAGAATTCAGGGGACATTTCAGATCCTGGATGATTATTGTAAACATGTGGCCGCCCTACACCTGCTGCCTTAGACACAGCCTGGTATCATTCTCCAAAATTCATAGCACAGACACAGAGACAGCTGTTTTGCTCCTCCCAGTTAAAAGAAACTTTGACTGCCTGCAAATTTGATTGACTTGTTAATTTAAGGTCTGCTCATATGACTCCAAGGTTGTGTATGTGCCCTGAGCTTGAAAGGTTTTAGGGAGTGTCGGCGAGAAGGGTGACTTACATACAAAAAGCTGAAAGGGTTAAGTAAGGCACCTGTGTTTTTAATGTAGCACCCTTCTTTGTTTTGTTGTAATATTTTTGAATAAAGCTTTTTAGCAATTCCTAACCAAGCGGTGCTCATTTTACTTCAACAAATCTGATTCAATTGAATGGTTACTCCTTAACAATCGGATTACTTTGAAGAAACTATCTAAGCCACTTAAATGTAGCAAGATCTTTAAGCAGACATTGACTATTAATGTAATCTGATTACATACAGGTCCCACTCTTCTGCTGACCAGTGATATTATCAAACAACGCCTCGGAGCTGCAGCACTAGACAGGTATGTGTACTGGCAGGTTGAACGTTTTCTGCAATTCTGCATTTATGTCAGCTGCATATACGTTCTCTTTAACCTGCCCCGTAATAAATAAAATGAGCCTTCAGCAAACATCTAAAGCCTTTTTTCTGTGTCATTGATTTTTTTCCCTTTGGGCCTTGTCTTTCTAACTCACTCATTAAATTCCGTTCAAGTGCGCCTTCTTGGCACTACCAGGAAATGGATCAACTGTATGCTGCCAGCTCGGCAATGCCGCCTGTCATTAATGCACTCCTTTCCTCTTTAGTGTGCACGAGTACCGTCTGTCCAGCTGGCTGGGCCAACAAGAGGACATCCATCGCATAGTTCTTTACCAGACCGACTACACGCTGACCCCTTGGACGCAGCGGTGCATCCGTCAGGCTGACTGCATCATTATCGTGGGACTGGGGGAGCAGGACCCCGCCGTTGGGGAGGTGAGGCGGAAGGGGAGGGCTGACAAGAGAATAGGGAGGTGACTTACTGGCAAACACTGCTGTTGGCTCTTTGATCCGATTAGTTACGCTTATTCATACAACGCAATGAATAAGGGTCACAACCTGTCAAACCATGTGAATCCCAATACTGACCCACTTCACCCATCAGTTAGTTCCTTCAAGCTGGATCATGAATCAGTAGAACACTTTTGGAATGTGGTAGGTAATCTCCAAACCTTATTTAAGGCAATCATGTCAAAATTGCCCAAAGTAATGTTGTGAACACCTGAAAGTTTTCTGAAATCTGCTCCACAAAGTATTAAAGCTTTAATGAGAGCACCAGTATTGAATGGTGCTCCAGATTAAGTGCTGGGTGAATGTATAAACGAGAAAAGCTCCACCTATATCTGTAAAATGTTAGACTGATAGATCAGGGACTTTCTGAAATAATTTTGTTTAAAACATTGCCCGCTGACCCACTTTCAGCGTGTTTTTTGTTAGAATTTGAGGTTATATTTCAATGACAATGACTGAAATCATCCACTATACCCTACATAGTGCACTATACTGCATTTTATAGTGCTGTCCAAATAGTTTCACACTATATAGTGCTCTCAAAACATCCCACAATGCACCGTGAATAGTCGTGACAAGCCGATGGTCACTATCCAGCAATAAGGACTGTCATGCATTGCTTGAAAGAAAATGCGAACGAGATGAAAACTTGTCATTAAAATGTAGGAATTTCCCTTTTATGTTTTGTTAAATTTGATCTTACCCGCTTCTTAGTGATGTAATAAACTTTGAATCTGACATGTTTGCACTACGCTGCTACAGGACAAATAATGCAATTAAAAGCTCCAGTAGCGTCCGAAATGTTCACTTGCAGAGGCGCTCCCTACATAGTTTATTGTATAGTGGTCCCAAGATAGTGAGTAGAGAGTAGGGAGAGAGTGGATGATTTCGGACGCAGCCCAGATCTCAGGAACTATTAAAGATAAGCAGAAATTGGGCACCGCTTTAGCTCAACTGGTTGAGCTGGCGACCCATGTACAGGGGCTGTAGTCACTGACGCAGCAGCCATGGGCTCAAATTGGCTGCAAGTCCTTCCCCCATTCTTCTCCCCTACTTTCCTGTCTCTCTCTCTCCACTGTCCTATTTAATAAAGACAAAAAAGGCCAAAAAAATAACTTAAAAAAAAGATAAGCAGGAGTTGTTCTAAAAATTTCATGATTTGAGACCTAAACATCTCTAAAGGAAGAGCGCAACATTTTAGAAAACATGTTTTTTCTCCTTCTTCCTGGTGTCCGCACAGTAACACGAAGCTCCAAACAGCAACCAGGTATCTTACTGCTTGATCAGGCACAGTGGTGTCCTGAGGTCCCTGCTGGTTGCCTGGCAACCTCACAGCATTAACAAAACTCCAGGAAGTCAGGGCGACCTGATAACCAAGCGGTTACCATATGGGCACGAATGCCCTGAGCAGCAGATCCCTAGTTTGATCTCGGCTGGGTGTACCATTTTGCTGCACGTCGTCCCCCTGCTGTCTTTGCACACGTTTCCAGTTCTCTGCACTACCTCCGTCAAATACAGTCCTAAAAATATCAATAATCCTGCACATAACCATTAGTAAAACTACAACTACTCATAACTACACTTCAGTAGTCGTACAGATGAAACAAAAGAGTAATTAATAATCTCTAAAGATACTGGAAAGTCTCATTTTTATAACAAATCTTTTGAAAGGTGAGGCTAACTACGCTAACTGCATCTACCCTGCTGACATCAAAACAGTAGCTCCCTTCTCATCTAGCTCTGGGGAAGAAAGTGAATGTTTGACTCATTTTTACATCTCCAGACGGGTTTTAGAATCCGCAACTGAAATTCTTGTACTGGATAAAAACATCTACATGTGGTAATGACCTTTGTTACAGCTAACTATACGTTTCATAACCCTTGTTAAGATTTTTCAACACACCAATTATTATTGTTTAGTAACTGAGTTTTTGTTCAGGCGTGTGCTACCAGGCAAAGCTATTGGTAGAGCAGGACTCTGTCTGATGTGATATTAAGGTCACTTCTGATCATTACTCCCTTGAATCACGATTGCACACCCAGGGGTTTAACCAACTTAATGGTCAGACAGGCTGTGAATGGTTTGTATTTGACCCTTGGGCATACAGGAGAAATGAGCAAAGGAGGGATGGATGTTGTGAAAGAGAGGTCGGGGTGGAAGAGAGAGTGCACGTCAGGCTGATGAAGGAGACCTGATTGCCTTCACAGGGAGAAAAGAAAAGAATGTATCCCCGTTAAACAGGAAATGGTGGGAGAAATGGTAAGATAAATCAATATTTGCTCAGGCTCGAAATGAGTCATAGCTCTGGGTTGATTTTATCTTTCAGGGCACACACTCTCACCTCGCACATACACTAAACCTTCAGCAGAGGTGGAGGGGGCCTGTCGACCAGGTTGCACATCTGACCTTCCTCTCAGGCTGTACAGTTTTTTTTTCCCGTATTAGACTTTTCATTCGGGAGCCTGTCTGGGAAATTGCGCTCTGAAAATATAAATGAAAATGAATTAAAATCCACCATAGATGTAACAATAATTATATTGCAGTTGTTCAGATATAAAGGTTAATCTCAAGATGAGAGTTCTTCTGGAAATGATCCTGGATTTGCAATCACATATCTGTACAAAAATAAACTATTTTGCTCAGTTAAATCTAATGTTGTCTCCAGTACTCATGAGTGTTGCAGTATTTTTCAGGGTTTCCTCTCAGAACTGTCATTATTCCACCTGTGTGAGCCGTACACAGGAGCCACTCTGAAGACAGTGAAGAGTATAAAATGTTCTAAAACATCTGTGTTCCTTGCCTCCTTCCCCTCTAGCTGGAGCGCATGTTGGAGGGAAGTGCCGTGCGTGCCCAGAAGCAGCTGGTGCTGTTGCACAGAGAAGACAGCCCCCCACCCAAAGGAACCGTGGACTGGCTCAACATGCGAAGCTGGATCTCCAGACACCACCACCTCTCCTGTCCCCGAAGGGTCTTCTCTAAGCGGAGCCTTCCCAAACTGGTCTGACTCAGAAATATAGCCAGAATGTTGTTGTTTTTTTATCTGATGTCTTATCTGTAGATCAAAGCACTTTCTTTGCCTGAGCCTCTCTGAACCCGTCATTCAGCATTTTCACATAATCCTTTTTCTTTCATTCGCAGCTATTCAGTTCTTGTAACTTCTCATCGTCTCACTCCCTTTCTCTCTACTTTTATCACAGTTGTTGTGCTTGTTTTGCAGTTGGAGCTGTATCAACGGGTGTTTGAGAAGCCAGCAGACCGTCACTCTGACTTCTCCCGCCTGGCTCGCGTTCTCACGGGCAACGCTATCGCTCTCATCCTGGGAGGAGGAGGGGCCAGGTAACATTCATCCCACTGTTGTTTCACAGCTGTTTCAAAGTTCATGTTCGTCCCCTTCTGCTAGACCAGCTCTGATTTGCTTTACATTTTTTCTCACATAACGTAAATGTGAAACGGTACCTGTGAAACTGTAGCTTGCTATATCAAGTACTTTCCAAGATAACGGGGAAAAAAAAAAATCCTGTTGACTTACTTTCAGGCTTTTTTTTTTTTTTCGCACATTGAAATTTGAGTCTATATTTGGATGACAATATCTCAGGAACTATTCCAGATAAAACCCTGAAATTTTCACAGTTATGTTTCACAATGGTATTTATTTGGCATCTGCAATACTGTACAAGTAGATCCAATAGTCTCTGTTCATGGGTGAGATGAAATATGAAAAAAATAGCAAAATTGAAGCCCCATCTTTGAGCAAAAATTAACAAAAAACGGATCATGCATAAGTAAACTAGATATATTTTCTGAACCATACATGTAGTTGTATGTCACAATAATACAAAATAAGACAGACAGAATACTTTTTAATATGAAATACTTGGCACCAAAATGAACAGACAAGACAGGTTGTACCACGAAAACACAAATATTGCTGGATAGCCTGATCCACATAGGACAAAGTTTGGTAGTTTTAAAATTGTTCTCCAAATAAAACCAAAGAAAATCCTCTTCTTTCTCTCCTTTTCCATATTCAGACCCCACTTTGTAGGCTGGAGAAACAGAGTCAACTGTTACCTATTAGACTCATTAGAAGAGATGCTCTTAAGAAGTTACTGTAGTCACAAATATCTTTACAAATATTTTATTCTCATAAAAAAATCCAGCAAATCAGAGACGGTCGAGCGGAAATGGGTCAAAAAGTTTAATGATTTGAGATGAAAAAAATATGACATCTTTGAAACCTAATAGACTTGATAGCCTCAGAGCATCATCACAAACAGTTCTGGTTCCTGATCTTACAGCTTGCTGGGTCTTTTTAGCCAAAATGTTCTGTCTTTCTATGTTTTTTTTTCCCTCCACCCTCCTCATCAGGGGATGCTCCCAGGTGGGAATAATGCGGGCGCTCTGTGAGGCCGGCATCCCAGTGGACCTCATTGGCGGCACTTCAATCGGTTCCCTGATGGGGGCACTATATGCCGAGGACCGTAGCCACAGCCGCATGAGGATGAGGGCCAGAGAATGGGCAATGGTGAGAGTCACACATGTCTTGTGTTAAATCCAAATCTTGGACTAAAGAACTGATGCTATTTATTTTGCTCTGCGTTGTTATCCTTAAAATGCTTCAGAAATTTTAAACCACTCATTTTTAAATAGACCAGTTTTTGTCCTTTTTACAGGACAAAGACAGCAAGAACAGTTTTTAAAGCGTTTTTGTTATATTTCCTTTGCTTAAATTAAACTGGCAGGAAATGAAATTAGAAAGCTCGGGGATGATATTCAACAAAGCTGCCCGGAGGGTTTTCAACCGTGCTTGAATTTGATGCTTCATGACCTTGATCGAACGTCTTCAGGATGTTATGTAACATCGGTTGACTGCAGAGCTCGGACCTCGTGGTTTCTCTCTCGATGGCGTACTTTTAATTACCTTCGAATTAGGTTAAATAATCGATGAGCAAATAGTTTAGAAGGGATCATTTAGGAGAAAGTAGTATTCTGTTGGGTTGAGGAGGAGTTTAGTTTAGCACTTGAGGAATATTTTCAGTTACTTTCAGTTTTCTGGTCATTCACCTGCCATAAACTGAATGTGATGTGACTCATTCAAACAGAAACTGGTTTAATTCTAATCCAGATTTCTGCTTTTAACCCAATGAAGAAGTTCTGGGTTGCTGTTGCACCTCTGGATGATTTTTTTTTTTTTTTTTTACATCCAGCTTGTACAGAACCCTTTTTGTTGTGATATGAAATGCATCCTCTGGTCTTTAACACTGTGACCATCCATGATGGCTAATTTCAGACACCTGCTCTGTCTCCAGGCCTGCAGGCAGAGCATGTGGTAGGATTTGTCTTCCCACAGTGTGTACAGCCCCTCCTCCTCTGGCTCTGTCCTTGGTTCTGAACCTTCCCTGCAGAAGCAGCTGGCTGGGTTGCTGCTCCTTAGTATCGAATTAAAAGAACCACTGTGCCATAAAAAGAGTTTGTCCTTAGCAAAGTCACATGAACAAAGTGAAAAATTTCACTGGGAGTAAATTTATGTTTTCGAGATTTTTCAAAAGAGTATAAATCAAAAGTCATTAGAAGAAAAAAAAAACTTAGTGTTTGTGCTGCAAATTAACTTTCTTTTTTAAAATTAAACCCTTTTTGCCTGAGAAAACACATCATGGAGTTGTACAGAGGAATAAACTATCTTGACTGTTCTTTTCTCCGGCTTTCCCTGCAGGAAATGACTTCAGTGTTTCAGAAGGTTCTGGATTTGACTTATCCAGTCACCTCCATGTTTTCCGGTGCTGCCTTCAACTCCAGCATCAGCAATGTCTTCAAAAGTAAACAGATCGAGGTGAGCTAAACGAGGAGCCACAACTAACACAATCTAAACTGAAATGTGGATTAAAAAAAGAGAGGACGGCAAAGACAACTTCAGCACATAAACATCCAGAGATACGACAGTCTAGGACAAGTGAATGTAGCTCGTGAATTTATTATCTGTTGCAATGAACTCATTTCTGTGTGCAGGACCTTTGGATCCCATATTTCAATATCACCACTGACATCACTGCCTCAGCCATGAGAGTTCATACTGATGGTGAGTACAGTGCTTGTTTTTTTTTTTTCGGTCTCATTTGCTTAATCGGTCAGTTTATCCAAATGATGAAACTGAAACGCCAAGTTTAATGTACATGGGTTTGACATCTACCTCTGTGATTTCTGCCACTGCTGTCCCTGTTGCTGAACTAACCCATCAATTAGTCCCATTGATGAGCTTAATTTTCAGTCGTTAAACTTTCAATTAAACACGTGGTGTTTCAAAAGCAAAAAAACATATAGTTTCCCGTTTGCCGTTTGAGGTTCTCTGTGGCGGTACGTTCGTGCCAGCATGTCTCTGTCGGGATACCTGCCTCCTCTCTGCGACCCCAAAGATGGACACCTGCTGATGGATGGAGGCTACATCAACAACCTGCCTGGTCTGTTACACTCATCTCATTCAGTTTTAATACTTCATAAGTTAGCAATGTTTCTCTCAGTACCTCGATATGTTCTGATGTGTTCGTTTTCTGCTGATTTTGTATTCTGTCCCACGGTGTCGGTTTCCTCCGGCTTCCCCAGCTGATGTGGCGCGCTCCATGGGGGCCAAAGTGGTGATTGCTATTGACGTGGGCAGCCGGGATGAAACCAACCTCACTAATTATGGCGACTCACTCTCAGGCTGGTGGCTGCTATGGAAACGCCTCAACCCCCTAGCTGAGAAAGTAAAGGTGACGGATTGATTAAGAATAAAGACACCACGAACTGCGCGAGGATGTTTTAAAGATAATCGACTCGTATGAAAAACAACGAGCGTATTTTGAGTGATCCATACGTTTGTTTCTACAGGTGTTAAACATGGCAGAGATCCAGACCCGGCTGGCCTACGTGTGCTGCGTGAGGCAGCTGGAGTTGGTGAAAAACAGCGACTACTGCGAGTACATTAGACCTCCAATCGACAGATACCGAACTCTGGAGTTTGGTAAATTTGATGAGATCGCTGTAAGTTTTCAAACTTTTTGTTCCACGTCTTGATTTCAGTCCAACAAATTCCCACAGTGTGTTCTGTTTACATTTATCTACATTGCTTTTAATAATTCTGGCCAATAGTATGCATAGAAAAAAAAATACTAGTATGTGAATGTTTGTGTGCATTTGTGTTATGTAGGAGGTGGGATACCAGCACGGCAAGACTGTGTTTGATGTGTGGAGTCGCAGTGGCGTGGTGGAGAAAATGCTGAAAGACAGACACCAAGAGGAGTTCCACAACACCCAGAGCAAGAACAACGTAAGGACTGGTGGAGGGAGTGATCAATATATGGAAAAGCTGTCGATTATATGACAAGAAAGTCAATAGAGAGAGTTCAACACAAAGCAGCAGGAGTCTTCTGTCAAGAGACATTTATAAGCAACATATTGTGAGTTGAAAAAAGCCGTTTAGGAGTTTCTAGCTGAAGGGTTGTGTTGAAATTGAAATCATGTTTTGATCTCCTGGGTTCTGCAGTCAAACTAGGAGGTACAAACATGTCTGTGAGGATTCTCAGTCATCCAGGTCATGGTTATTCTGGTAGTTTAATCGTAGCAACTGCTTGAGTTCCTTGAAGACGTTCCACCTCTCATCCAAGAGGCTTCATCAGCTCAGACTGACTAGTTGGGAGTTCCACATACTGATATCCTTAAGGAGACATTAACACCTGAGTTTGGGTTTCAGTTGGGGCTTTGTTGCTCCTCCCCCTCGTTATGTGAGTTGTTAATGCTCCTCCTGCCACAGTGGGGTTCGTTAGGGTCTTTTGTGGCTAGGTGTGAATGTGGGTTCATCTTCCTGGGGAGAGATCTTAGGACTGAACTGTAACCAGGTGAGAGGTGATGCCTCAGATGGTCTTTCCAGTTTGACATAGATGGCTTCTTTCATCCCTCTCTCAAACTATCTGTCCTCCCTGCAGGCCAAAATCTGTACATTGTTGTCATCAAAAATTCCAAATTCAAGTAATTTATGAACCTTTTATTTGCTTAAATTTACAAATGAGACACGACATGGTGTAGCGATCACTCATTCTACCATCAGACCTGAATATATCTAATATTTGAAGAGTTCATAAAATACAAAATACAAAATGCAAAGTAATGCAAAGAAACAAACCAAGATTCATTTGCAAAAACAGAGAACTCCATCTTCACGAACCTTCAGAAAACCCACTTTTCCATCGTCTACCTGAGACAATATCAATTAAACTTGACTTATCTCTGTTTTTGTCATTTCTACTGAGTCAAATCCACTCAGCTTCAGTTTGATTGATGTCATCTCAAGCAAACAAAAAAAAAAACGTTTCCTGAAAATCTACAAAAATGGAATTATCTGCTTTTGCAATTAACTCTTCATTTGTTATTGCCAAGGAGCTTACGTCAGAGCTAAGGTGACTAATCTAGTTTTGTGTAATCCAGATAGTGTTTGACACATCGAATAATCAAGAAAACCTCAGAGGTACCCTCCTGTTCCAAAACAAGCACGTTGTGCACTAAATAACAAACTAAATGTTTTATTTTGTTGGCGTAATGACACACTCTGCCTATAAATATTTAACTCCGTACTAATAAATCCACTGTTGAATTATTTAAATATCAATAAGCAGCTCTTTATACGGCGTCAACAACACTCGCCGACTGAATCCAACGTGGAGATAATCAAGAAAACAGCAAGTCAGTGCACAAATCCATTCAGTGTATTGTAGCTGTTGGCGGAATGTACACAGGTGAGCCACAACATTAAAACCACCTACATAGATTGTGTATTGAAATGAGCTGAGTGGTGTTCACCTGTCAGTGGTTTTAATGTTGTGGCTGATTGGTTCATCCGGATAAGGATATTAATTACAGTTTAAAAGGAAAGACAGTGGAGGTGCTCTACTGCTGCTATGTCAGTGTCAAATTGATGAGCTTACTTTTGTAAAACGTCTTGTCCGTAAACACACCACATCGAGTTTTACATCCACTAACTACATCCTACTTGTGTTCCATCAATGTTTAACTGACCAAACAGGCTCAGCATACTGGGTGAATATTTCTTTTATTGTTGTTATTTCTACAATACATCCTTTTGTCAGCTGGAGTTTGTTGTTTACAGTGTCATGTTTTTAGGCCTTGGGCTACAGTTCTGTTAAAGTAATAACATTAAAACTATGAATCCGTTTGCTCTTAAAGTACACGGAAATGGATTTACCGTACACCGGATTTGTCCTCCAGCAATGTCAAAGAAAGACAAAGCACCTACTAAAAAAAAAAAAAAAAAGTCGGAGAGAATGATGAAGAAAGATGAGATATTTACCTTCAGTCTGAGCGATAACACAAAGAGGATGAAGGAAAGAATAGCAGGATTGATACTGAAAGGAACCATGACAATAGCCCCGAAGCAACAAACTTAACAATTGCACCTGAACAACTGTGGAAAGAAGGATGGCACTACTGTTGTTGTTGTTTTTTTTGTACAGAATTGAAACAATAATGTTTAACATTGTCTTATAAATGACTCCCATTCTCATTCTTTAAAACAATGGCCATCCCACACAGACAGTTAATGAGTGTCTTTCTATTTTCAGATGCTACTGTAGGGTGCGCGCAACCCTCTGGGGAAATAATGCATCTCTTTTCCGTGATAGATTTGACGTTAGGTTCCGTAGTTTTGTGCAACATGCAAAACAGGAGATTTCAAAACAAAATGGGGGGGATTAGTGTGACTAGTTTAGCTTTAAAAAATAAGAAAAGGGACAATAGTTGGAAAAGATTTCAGTGTCAGCAGCTGAAAAATAATCAGAAGGAGGTCATGTGTAATATCGCTGCAGGATCCACAGTAAGGCTAAATCCTTATCTGGCCTCTAATCAATATTTATATTTCTAAATTTTTCACTCTAAAAATACTTTAAAGGAAGTGAAACCAATCTAGGTCAGCTCGTATGTGCTTAACTGAGGGAAAAGTGCAAAAAAAAAAAAAAGGAGGTCTGCATCCGAAAAAGTCAGCAGTAAAAACCGGCTTTTTCACAACACAGCAGTTTAGAGGCGCGGTACATCAGCACAGTGTTGTTCAAATGGAGACAAAAAAGACTAAATCCAGAGCAGCCCGACACCTTTGTCCTCACTGAACCCGCTGGCTGCTATTTATATTTTCATTAGTGAGAAGGCGAGTGTGTATAATGCTCTCACAGCCGAGGTGTTGATACCTAGCGGCTGGAATAATTAGCTCGTTCTAATACAACTTGCATCAGAGCGACTGTGGCTGAATGTTTTGTGTGTGTGTGTCTTTTCAGGTGGTGACGTGTCCCAATGCGTCCTTCACTGATCTGGCAGAAATTGTGTCCCGCATCGAGCCCGTCAAACCCGCTCTGGTGGACGGTAAGACTTCCGACACTCACTCCAAAACTGTCACTTTCAGCCACACCCATGATGGCACATTTTGAAGTGTTTAGACACGGCGACTGGGAGACTGATTTCACCATTTCAGCTCCGTGTTTGTCTTCCCGTGCGCACTCTTGTTTGTTTTTGGGTGGGGTTTTTTTTTCCCTGTCATGTTTCATTAGGAAATGAATCTTTTTTTTACGTGGGAGGAGGAAATTGATAAATGGATCTCCGTTACTGAAGAAATTTAATCACATGAATTGTGTGTACACACAACACACTCAGTTTACAACATAGTGATGGAAAAGTGAACACATAGTACGGATTTAACATACAAACACTTCACAATAATACTTCAAATTGGGCATTTGCATTCAAACAAACTGTTCATAGTCTAATTGTATTTAAATATTTACAGTGGTGCTTCAAATTAGGTGAACAAAAATGTTTGTTTTCGTCATATATAGAATAGAATAGAATAAAACTTTATTGATCCCTTCGGGAGGCTGCAGGGTGGCGCAGTTGGTGGCGCAGTTGCTTAGCACTGTTGCCTCGCAGCAAGAAGGTTGCTGGTTCACGTCCCGGTGGGGGCACCGGAATCCTCCTGCGTGGAGTTTGCATGTTCTCCCCGTGCAGCGTGGGTTCTCTCCGGGTTCTCCAGCTTCCTCCCACAAGGTCCAAAAACATGTTGATAATTAATTGGTGACTCTAAATTGTCCGTAGGTGTGAATGTGAGTGTGCTTGGTTGTCTGTCTCTAAGTGTAGCCCTGTGATAGACTGGTTACCTGTCCAGGTGAACCTGCCTTCACCCTGAGTCAGCTGGGACAGACTCCAGCCCCCCGCGACCCTCGTGAGGATTGTATAGATAATGGATGGTGTAAACCTCAGGGAAATTGTTGTACTAGAAAAACAACACAACATCAGCAACAACAATAAATATTCAACAACAATAGTAATAATAATGATAATATGATTAAATGATTCAACGTGTATATATCTGTGTGGTTAAAGTATGCGAACCTTTGCTTTAATCATCCGGTTTGACCCTCTTGTGCTGGAACATCCGTAAATTCTTCCAGTAACTGTTGATCAGTCGTGCAAATCAGCTTGAACAGAACGGCTTCGGCTCTGGGATGTTGGTGGATTTCCTCGCTTCAGGTCCTTCCACAACATTTCTATTGGATTAAGGTCAGGACTTTGACTTGGCCGTTCCAACACATTTACTTAATTCTTCTTTCTTTGGTGGAACGACTTATGTGCTTAGGATCGTCGTCTTGATACGTGACCCACTTTCTCTCGGGATCACAAAGAGATGTCCTGACATTTTCCTGTTTTTGATAATTTGGAATTTGTTGTTCCATGAATGATGGCAAACTGTCCTGGCTTAGACGCAGCTGAACAGGCCCAACCCATGATACTACCACCACCACGTTTCCCAGATGGGATAAAGTCCTTGTGTTGGAATGCAGCGTTTTACTTTGTCCAAACATAATCCTTCTCATTTGAACCAGAAAGTTCTGTTTGGGTGTCTTCCATCCGCAGGATATTTTCATGAAGCCTTCTGTCTTCTCCACGTGATCTTTGGCAAACTGTGGGCGGGCAGCATGCTCTTTTTGGAGTGGCTTTCTGCTTGCACCTGCCATGCACGCCATTGTTGGACTCACAACCGTGAACGGCGGCCAATGTGGGAAAGGCCGTTAGTTACTTAGAAGTTATCAGGTGCTCCTTTGTGAACACAGACTATTACATGCTTTGCTCTCGGATAGTTATTTGTTGTTCGACCGCTCCTGGGGAGGATAACAACGCCCGAAGAGCATCGGCAAATCTTTTTTTCTGAGGTCCTTTGTTTGTGCCACTTCCACAAACGTGTCGGGAAGATTCCTTTTGTGCAAACAGAAGACCTGACTCTAAATTCACCGTCATTCTGGAGGTTCACGTATTTTACAACTCAGACATTTACTATTACATTGTTTTTCTCAATAACTAACGTGTAAAATGTTTGCATCATTTGTTTAATTGGTTTATCATCTTCTCCTTCTGTATGGAAATCAGATGCTTTACATCATATTTATGCAGATATATGCAAAATTTTAAGACTTCAAGCACCACTGAGAGTGAAGCCTCACAAAGGACAGTTTAGTTTTTCTCTGTTGTCCGCATCCTTCTCTTTATTCCCGTTCGTCCTATTTATAAGCTATTTGTCATCCATCACTCATCAGCGTGCCCTGCGCGACTTCTCACAGTGTTGCACATTTCTGCCGTTCTGACTCATTCACCTGCACACCCACTCGTATTTGTCACCTCTTTTACACTCCACATTTTCTAACTTACTCACCCACAATGTGCTTCTGTGCTTCCTGTCCCCCACTCGTTCCCTCCGCCAGAAGAGTCAGACTACCACACCGACTACGAGGAGGAGGCACTGGAGAGCGCTCTGTCTGACATGGAGATGTACAATCGCTACGGAGAGCACACCGAAGGGGAGGAGACCGCTGACACGGTACAGACCTCTGGTTATGAGATGGGACACAATGGGATCTTTTCTACATAATTACAGCACTTAAGTAGCTGTTTCACTTTAGTCACATCAAACAGAAGCGTCTCAGGGTAAAGCGCATTGTAATGAATTTTAGACTTTTTGCTCTGCACGTCATATTTCAAAGGCTCAGTCGTTTTTCTAAAATCTAGACTTTGGGAAAGTCAGAAGTATCTTGCTGGCTATTGTACAAAAACATAAAAAGTAAAACTGAAGTCAGGCCAATTGAAGCTTTAAAAGTAATCAATTATACCATAACATTTATTCTATAATTAATTAGATGATACTGCAAGGTCACCTAAGTCAACTACAACAATATATTTTACCTGTGGTTGTGAGCCAGGAGCGATGACAAGGAGACTGACCTGTAGTCAGGACATGCAGTTTTCAAGAGCAGCACAAATGACAGAAGTCAGCTTGACTTAGAAGAGAGCTGGTACGTTTTTAGGTGGAATGCAAGTTTTAAAAAAACAAAAACAAAAAACAAACAAACAACCTGTCTTCTTAAATCTATGGATGTTTTTATTTAGAAATGAACATCTGGCACATTCAAGTCAAACATGTTTGGTAATAGATGTATACAGAGTTTTAAATTCTGGTTCCTGTCATGCCATTGCTGCGCTGCTGCATTGGTAGTGATGCATTTCATGTTAACCAGCAATGACTGGTTTGCCAGAGCCGAAGAGAGGAACCGCCATAGTAATCGAGACGCTGTGGCTACTAGGAGCGTTGTGGAATTCGTCGAAGAAATTTTTTTTGCTGATAAATAAAAGAAAGAATCATTCAGAGGAAGAATTAGAGTCCAAAAAAAAGAAAGCGAGGGAGAAATCGTAAACACACGCTGTCAATATTTGTTTTATTATTCTCACTGCGAGCAGGACGAGGCAAAAGTTCCGCAATAAACGTCTTAATTGATCAGCTGGTTGAACGTATCTGTCTGTAGTACTTAAGACCCTCCCTGCCAATATCCTTACTTCCTTACTATGTAGTACGCCACAGGAAGATTATGTCCCAATACATAGTATATCAAATGTAGTGTTCCAAAAATATCCAGACTTTCTATTGCATCCATTTGAATTCTGCAATATGCATCCAGCGTGCATTTCTGGCAATTCTGATCTACAATCCTCTGTACAGCTACGCCACATATGTCGCTGCATTGTGCACAGAATACAAGCTTGAGCTGCCGAGAGTGCAAACAACAGCTCATTTAGCACTACAGACTGCTTGAGTTGAAGGCACATTGTTGTGACAAAGCAGTTGTATGCATACTGCATGAAACAGTGTGTACTCTGTGAGGGCAGCTGTCGTATGGACCTCATGTAAAAAGAAAAAGTGTGTGATTCAGAATGAAGCTCAAATTGAGAAAAGAAATATTTAGGATTACCTGGAGGGAAGGTGGTTCAGGTAAGGTTTACCTGAAAGTAATTTATAATTTGCCCTGCTGTGTCCATACGTTTGCATACAGTTGTACATAATATAGAATGCTGTGATACTGCAAAATCTTTATTACTGTGCAAATATACTACTTAGTTTTGTGTTTTAATGGCAACACATATATGTATATTCAGTGTCATTTTTTAGTTTTCAGCCAAGGAATTTCTTTGATTAACAATCTGCAGCAGACATGTAATTTTACCGCTACATCTCACCTTGCTTCTGGTTGTCAGGATGAAGAGCTGGACGGCAGACGTGCACGCCCCATTACCTCACTGACCAGCTGCCACCCTCCGTTTACCGCCGTCCCTGACAGGCCGCTGGAGGAGCCGTCAAACCACCAAGTCCTTTCCAAACAGTCCATTAAGTGAAGACCCGTCTAATGAACTCTGCCTGAACAGGTCATCACAGTTTAACCCGCCTGTCTTTGCCACATATTACCCTCCAGTCTGCCCCACATGCAAACCTGCTCTCGAGTGACTGCGATTACCATCCCTGACCTCCGTAACCTGGCCTCGTTAGCTGTGTGGCTGACATAACAAATGGACAGTCCCTTAAAAAAAAAGAAAAGAATACATACTGTAGGTGCTGGTTGCATACTAAATGCATCCAGCGCCTATGCATTCCCAGTTCATAGAGCAGCCGCTGGTCTAATCATTTCTCATATTGAGATAGTTGAGATGATTTCTTGTAGCTTTAGATGAATCACACCAGCCCAGTGGAAGATAAAAGAAAAGCTGGTGAGGCAATACTATTTCCATGAAATATTCATTACTTGGACCCAGGTGAAAACTATGAATCCTTACTGATTGTATTTAGAGTTGAGAAAATTTAACGAGATTTGAGGTAGTTGAACGTTACAAAATATATATATTATTATTTTTTCACTCCTCTGTCGTCTAAACACACAGATTGCTTCGGTGTGAGGTTTTTAAGTGTTGACATATCTGTTTCTCAGATCTCTGCCACATGCACTGTTACAGGATTACATGAAAAATTCATCACATGCAAAGATGAAAGGGATGCCAACGAAAAAAAAAGAAAATTAGAAATATTTTTCAGACAGAATTCAACGTTTTATTTCAATTTGATTATATGTACATCTCCTCAGATCACTATAATGCTTCAAATGAAAGCATCTAAGAATAGAAAAATCACTAATTGGCTGAATCGCTCACAACTACTGTCTACAGTAACGCTATAACCTGTAATGACGAGTCACAACGGCTGACGTTTCCCCAAGCTGAAAACGTTGGTTAGTGGGACTGATTCCTAAGTGGTCAGTAACATCAGTGGATTATCTGATGAGAGACGTTGCTCCAGTTCTTCAGTAGTTTCATCACCGCAAATACAAAGTTATTCACCTCACATGCATTTGCAGTGGCAGGAATCTCAGATACTGATACGTCAGTTTTGTTACATTAAGAAAAACTTGGTAAAAATGTTAAACTGGCTTCGTAACGTGGGTGTCACACCCCAGGGGTTGGCGGGAACAGTGCCTAAATCAGTTAATATGGACTAAAATCATGCTGACGACTAAGGATGCCGCTGAAAACCCAGCTCTGAGTGTGGATTTTTGCACAAATTAATTCCCAAACAAGTGCGTATGGAGAAGGGGGTTGCATTGTAATGGAGCCTCTGCCGTCAGCGCTCATTGTCAATACGTGCAGATATTCCACCAGTCGTGGACATATTACCTGCGATTTGTGAAACACTCGCAGCACAAGAGAAGCACAAATATTTTCAGCCGCTCTGCAGAACTCTGACCGTCCCCTCCTCACTTCCCACTCAACCAGTATTTGTTACACACCCGTATGGTGCTACTTATGCTAATTTTAGCTAATTGTGAACCATCTAAAAACAAACACCAGTTGTATGTAGCAGCTGACTCTGGACCTGTTCAATGCAAAAAAATTTGCACCTTTTTAATAAACTAAAGTTTAAATTGCCGACTGTGGCACTCGGAGCTCCTAAACGTTGCATTCTGTGCAAGTGGGAGGCGAGTGCGAAATGTTTTCATCCTTGGAACGAGGGTCACAGTCCTGAAAGGTTAAGGACCACGGCTTTAATGCTCTGCACACTCATTTCTACGTAATGATCCTCACCAAGGTTTGCTTGCCAAACAAAACTAATTTAAAAACAGAAAGGGAGCAAAACAAGCAGTGTGCTCCGCGGCCATGGCTGTCAGCGCAGTTTTGTCGTAGCCAGTGTGCCAGGGACATGGAGGGAATTAATGATTCCAATCCACTTCAAAGCACTAGTTTCCCTCTCGGCTGGCGAGAGAGCCTCCCCCCATCTGTTTTCTGGCTTGAATCTATCACAGACTGGGCAGCAGACAGTGCGGATCTGTTGAGTGAACTCTGAGGCCCAACTCGTCTTTGTACAGTTTATGCACAGGGGCTATCACAGGAACACGAATCATTAGGCTTGTCAAGCAGTATTTCTGATTTCTTTCCAGTGATTTGGATCAAATATAATTTTTAAATTGAGAATACAAAGCGACTGCATGCCATTGAAACTATCAGACATTTGTCTTATACGTATATTATAGTCAAAAAGTTCAAGTAAGTAATGAAGAATAATTCAATATATCCAATATTTAAGCCCTAGATGATTATATGCACAAGTTACATGAGCCGGACAATCATTCCAGAAATGCAATTCAATGCACAATACTAATAATAATTCGTTATATAGGTTTGATTAACATGCCTCTCTGTGTAACAATTCCATAGTTAGCTTAATCTCAGTCATAACTTGGACTGGAACTAACAGTTGATTAAAGTAATGATTATTTGCATCAGCTAATACATTAATCTTTTTGTATTTAAAAAAAAAAAATGACACCAGAAAATGGTGAAATAGTGAAAATGAAACAATGAAGTCGTACTTTTTGTCTGACCAACAATCCGAAACCCAAAGATATTCACTTTACTTTCATTTTATAAGACAGAAAAATGAGATATTAACACGTACAAGGGATGAACTAAACAAAATAGGGATCAATGAATACACTGAGTGTCACATTTTACAGCAGAGGAGAAAACTTGGCGATGCTTTCTAATGGGAAAAACTTGGTTATACTGTTTTGTGGGGTTTTTTTTCTGTTACTCACTTATCACTAGCTCTGCAACATCAGCTGTCACATCAGGCTCTAAACAACACCAGTGCAAGTTTTTTATGATTTTGTTTCCTTTGGGATGGCATAGCGCCTCATGACCCTCGCTGCATGAAGCTGAGATCTTCGTAAATCCTGGTGCTACAGAGCCCGCAGCCTTACATGCGTAGACGGCAATAGAAAAGCTGTGATAAACACTATGGCGCTCCCATATGGTGTTGGTTAAACGGAGCCTGGACGGAGAATGTGTGAGCAAGCTGGAGATGGAAAACGTTTGCTGCTTACCAATGAGGTGGTGGTGTTGGTACTGGTGTGTTTTTTTTTTGTTGTTGTGAAGGTGGAGCTTGTGATTCTAATCCAACACTGTTTTTTGTTATCAAATTCGGTGAATATCTCCGTTGGTTATGGGGGTGAACTGGTATTTGTGCGCAGCCCTGCTTTTGTAAATGGGAAACACAGCATGAACCTGATTCCAGAGCATCCTCGGTGAGGCTCATGCTTGTGCAGAGGACAGCGTGACAGCATTCTGGCTCATGCTAACCGTCTAAATACCAACAGTCTTTCTCCAGAATCACAAACTCCACCTTTAAACCGAAAGCAATGAATTCATGTTGTCAGAACGTTGCACTACTTTATTAAATGGGACGCAGTAATGGATGAAGTGCTGATGTAATGTGTGGAACGGTGCCATGAACAAAGCCTTAGATGACCTGAGAGGAAGAAACAACCACTTGTGCCCTCGTTTGAAACGCATTTTTTGATTCTTTTTTTTTTTTTTTGTACAATGAGGAAGTTTACCGATAAGCCTGTAACATGACCTGTTAATATGTATGTTTGTTTTTGTTTGTTTGTTTTTTAAATAATCAGCTGTTACTAATAAAACACTATTTGTTGTTGTGGTTAAGGTGTTTTCTACCACATGCATTACACTATTTGCACTATTT